ATCCAGTAAAATTCAGTGTAGTAATTGCAATCTACAATATAACAGCAATTCCATTTGCCTATAAGCAGACACTGTAAAGTGAAGTGTTCAATCCCACAAATGTATTTGCTAGCCGCTATCGGCACTCACACTAAGACTAATCTGCAACAAACTAGACTCATACTTCCTGCGTTCTTCAAAACACGATCAGCTGAGAAACCTAACGCTTGAAAATGTCATCTGCATAAATAAATGATCAGTTGTTCCACTAAAATTTAAAAAAATCCCAGCAGAGGTGACGCAAGCTTGTGCGGTGTTGTTCTAGCACTCCATCCCTTTTTGCAAGGCAAGCGAAACCCTAAGCAATGTTGGTTTGTTTTTTTTTGCGACTTCAATGTTTTAAACAAAATCTTAGTAGACATTTTCGGCCTGGGACACAGATGAGATCTTATCGTTTGGGCCTGACTTCAAGGCGGGGCGTTTCTGGCATGCACTTTTGCTACACAACCGCCCCATCTATCCGTCCATGCCTTGTCCATTCGTAGTAAGTGGCAATAAAACATACTGTCAGACATTTTGAATGCATCATGTGCCATCAGAAGCGGCGAGGAATAAGGGCCGTGGTAGCAATTCTCAACAAAAGGTGTGGACGAAAACTCCGGTTTGAATATTGTTTGAACTAAGCGCTGTGCATTGTTTTGGGATGAAACAGAGAAAGCTTTGAGGCAAATGCGTTTCTGTTAAAGAGTAATGAATCTTGGCAATCAAGAGTAGCAGTATATTGTATACGTTCACTTTTGTTACGCATGAGATATTGTTATATTTTTTAGATAAAAATCCATATTGGCCCTGTGAACATTGTGATTGGTTAATTGCTTCTGAACAGGTTCAGAGAAGCGAAAGCCTGTAATTTGGACATGACGCTTGTCAATTTCACACTCACTAGTCACACAACCCCCTCTGAGACAAAACGATGGACACCACAAATGAATGGCGCACAATCCGGCAAAGTTAACAAACTGCCTGCTGCCGCACTGCTAAAGACCGTCATTCCTATAACAGCTTACTAAGCCCGCACGTTTCTAATTTACCTCCCTCAACTTACAAACTGTATCTCTCAAGTTAGCTAAAGCAAATGCTGATGAGGCCATGACAAGCCAAGTTCTTATATTCACACGAGTTCAAATGTTTTAAACCAATCCCCTTGCGCAGAACCCGACCAATAGGTCGCCTGGGTCATGTAGGAACTGTTTTCAACTGAAATACCTGGACCTTTTCGGTTTTTTCCTGAATAGTAGGACACCCGAAACAGAAGATAATTTAAGGACCCATTTAAATAATAAGTACCAGTATATTTACGCCATTTCATGCAGATTTAAGGATGTGCAATCAATTTACGGGCTTAGAACTTACTTCGACCGTGTTACTAACGTTTGGTAGCATTGGCTTTCAAGCAAGGAATTACCGAGTAAAAGATTTGTATTTGAAGGCTAACAAAAAAGATGATCAAATAACATCGAAACTACTAAGACATTCGTCCATTGCCTTAATCAAGTGTCCACAGGAATAGACTACCTAAAGCTGAAAAAACTCATTTCTAAATTTCTGTCCTTTATTTAGCACATAATTAGCTTTTCAAGCGTACTGTTAATGGAAGACTGAAGCACCGAAATATCAAAATTTATTGCAGAATTACCTGACATGATTCCTTCGTTCTAGTCCAAATGAGTCTACCACGACACTAGTACCTTACCTCCAACCTGTCACGTGGTTAAAAAATGAGCTCTAAATAACATCCAGGATAAAAATTATGTCCACTTGTGTCTTATTTCTAGCACTCCGGATTTGGATGGAATTGACAGGAAGCACACAAATGAATAAATAACGAAATTCCTCAGGAAATGTTTACCAGTTTTGTTCTTACATTAGTGTTTTACCACAAGCTTCGGATGTTCTCATTTCTTAACCAGAGCAAGCAAACCTAACGTGTATCCGCGCATGGTGTTTGACGAGGTGATTGCTATTTCCATTTTATTGCAGCTGTACTAAACTATGATATAAACCAGTTCCGCTGCATGTAAAGTGCAATTGTTAATGTATTAATTGAGTTATCATACCCCTAACAACCCCACACATCCTTCGCCATTTACTCATATGAAAGCAGGGGTAGTTAAAACTACTGAAATTGAGCTCACCAGGTCACATTTAGGGGGGCCGTAGAATACATGATACTGATTTGACTTTAAAATAAAACCTTTTAACATTACTTTATGAGGTGGCAAAGTGGATAAGCATGTGGGTGCTTTGATGAAAATTTTCGAAGTTGTAAACAAGAGGGCTCTCAAAAGAAACAAACACAAATACGTAACAGTAGCACGGATGAAACCTTAACAAACCCATTTTTGATATCTTTCTGTTCAGGTAGGAATTTGCCAGATTAAATGGACTTGGGAAAATCATTAAATAAATTGGTTTTGCTCCTTTAATTTTTCGGATGTATTTATTAAAACACAACGTAATACGAAGACCAAGTTATAATTTGTCTTCAACTCAAAAAAAATTTAAGAAAAGAAAAAGCCATTCCGAATGGAATTGTGGAGTTGAGCTGGTCTCCAAAATAAATACAGATTCATGTCCAATAATATCTACTAACTATTGATTGAGTAGCAGGGCATAAAACAAAACGGTAGAAGTTCCCCATGGTCAAGAACTTGGATTTTAATCTCCCTTAAGTTTTATTAAAGGAAGAACAATAAACCGAATAGTAATGCATAGCACTTCTGATAAAAAAAATTCACTATGTATTCAATAATTTAGCAGAGGCGGGGTAATTTGTATAGTCGTTTTTCTATGTTTTACACTAAATTAAAGCAAACCTCACAAATTGGGCAATTTAAAGTAAATTTAATTGAAACATCTTAAATCTGCTTTTGAATGATGTAATTAAGTTAAGTCAGCTTGATACTTGCTCTCACAAGTGTTTAGTGTAACGCGCCTACCGAGCGGGGATCTAAATGGATTGATAACTAGTAGCCTACCCTCTAAGATAGCCACACCATCAAGGTTTACCGTAGATTAAAAACAGGATGAACCAGATACATTCTATACTACCGCATACAAATGCAGAGGGGCTAGAGCTTAAAAAGAAACTTGGAGCTGGAGGATGAATGGGATGGCCGTGGGGTGTGTCGGTGTTACCCTCAGGCCCACGGGCGTGCCTTGATGAAGGCGGGATGGCGGGAGGGGAGAACAGGCCACACCGGTGTACGCGGATTGGGTTGTGCTCGTTGCATTAGTTCCCCTTCAAAATACAGAACATAAAAGCAACTCGATCAAGTATTTTGTGAACAATAGCCTCAGACAGGCAGCTGTGCTAGAATTTGCCATTTGTAGCATCAAGCAAAATCGCATTTCGTCACCGTTTGGCTGATATTGACAAAAATATACTTTTAATAATAATTATTAGGTGACTTTTGATTTTAATATGCAGGATTTTTTACGCAGGAAAGCATTTTTTGGTAAATACACTAGTATCCTATAACGTGAATGCAGGCAAAAAACTTAGAGGATCTCATGGCGCTGAGCTATGAAAATATTTGTTAGAATTTAGAACGCTTAATTTGGCACAACAGTGCTTAAACCACTCACTATACGTTAGTTTCATGCAGCACGCAGGGACTAAATACACTAAACTTTTTTTTAGTAGAGTAAAGTGGGTAAACAGTTTAACACAGGTAAGCACATAAGTAAATTTACGACACTGCGAAAGAGGCCCAAGAAAATCGATGTATTCACGTCAACATTTGGCACGTTATTTTTGTGGGGCAGTAAGAAGATTAGATTAGAATCGCAACAAATTATTCACAATTTCCCATTATTTGTCTGCGCTGAAGTTAACTGTTTCTAAAATATACCAAAAACTGACATTTCAGTCATCATTTTAGAAATAAATTTATAAATTGAAACAGCAAATACAACAATGCAACTTTAGATTAATACTGACTGCTAACAGGAAACTGATTGCTTTTATAATGAAATAAGTGATGATCTAAAAGACTACATTTTTAAACCAGTCTGTAGTGAAAGTTCCAATTTTTTTCCGGAATCACTAATTTACATATGCGCCTTTAATATTTAAAGTACATAAAGCTTTTCAGTGTGATCTGGTGCAATCAATTAGCAATTTTAAACCAGGAAAATTGTTATCACATAATTTTATTGTTGGTTAAATAACAAAGCAAATGCTTTCATGTTAGGGAGCTAGCGTGAATCAGTCGGTCATGCTACTACCAATCCCCTAACACTGTACAATAAAATTTACGTATCAACCAAAATTCTGATATGATTTAAATTTTACATCTGACCTTTTTTATTCAAGTTTTGCGTCTTTCCGCAAATGTTACCTTTATGAGCGTCAGCGTTTTAAATGGGTTTAATTGGGATCTCACTTTTGGGTGCCTTTTCGGTGTCGGGATGGTTTTCTCGTCACTACGTCGAAAACCGTCATTAATCGTATTTGACTTAGGTAAGTTAGTGAATGAACCCTATTTTAATTATTTTCACCTTAGAACTTAGGCACATAGCTTCATAAGTTTTCTGCGTTTATTTCATATTTCCTTTCACAAAAAGAGATTTTGCCCTGACAAACCCTCTGCTTTGTATCAGTGATTCATCTCGCTGAATATATGCTGCCAATTTCGTTTACTGCGGTCGTTTTGTTTACTTCGTTATCGAATAATTTGTCCCCAGCTCACATTTTAAATATCCAATATTCGTAAAACACACGAATTTTCGCAATTTTCCAAATAAGCTATGATCTGACATAACCTCGTTCTAGGACATGTGTTAGTATTTTTTATTGTAATACATCTTATAAAGCGTCTGTTTGGTCTCCTTAGTGTACCCATCTACTTGAACCACTGGTTCTGATTTTGTTGGTCCGCTAGTAACTGGTTGTTACACAGTTTTAATGCCCTCTCTGCTTCCAATCATTTTAGCACCGTTTAAACTATGTTGTATTAATGTGTTGTTTTTGTTTAGACTATACATTGTGGCCGTTTGATTGTGATGATTACTATGGTTCAAAGCTGTACGAAAGGTAGTGTGAATATTTATTAGTTCAACCTTTTTAGGAATGGCGAGGTGTTTGATCAGTCTAATAACCCAGTGAAACCATATCCTCATTCCGAAGATGTACTGAGTCGAATAAAGCAGGAACCCGGAATTAAGCTGGCTGTTGCATCAATGTGAGTCTGCCACTCCCATTTTTTTCATCTAAATTAAAGTTGCTTTTGATGTGTCGCAGTTCTTTGTTCATTGTTTGCTAAACAATTTGTTTTTTTTATAATATCCCCTACAACAAGTCTCAAGCCATCCTTATCACGTTAATATTCTCCTTTAAGACATTATTAAGGACAATATGACTGGGGGTGCAAATTAGAATAATAATATGTAAAGGTAGTTTGGACATAAAACGTCGGCAAATGTTTTTTTTTTGGATAATCACAGTCGCCATATTGGTGAAGGTCAATTTTAATCCATAAATCTTATTTACGATGAGCACCCAATTTTCAAAAAAAAGTTTTTTTGCACTTTTCCGTTCGGAGGGGGTGCAAATTGAAAAAAAATGCATCCATGACTAAGAGTTTGGCTTTCGACTTGTTTTTAATAAAGCAGTCGGCATTATTGTTGCTTTAACCGCACGTCTTTTGGTCAGAATGCCTCAATATGCTGCAGTTTTAAAGCCTATTTCCGTAATATACTCTGAGTTAAATGACCTTCGATATTTAGTGAAGTTAGAAAAAAGTCAGGGTAATGCCCAATTCCGAAATTGTCAAGTGAAAATTTGTAGAACTATTGAGGCAAATGATCTGTCTTCCAACCTGCGAGAAGCTATGTGAATATATAAGTTTAAGTTAGAAAACATGACATTTGCCTGCTTTTGAGGTTCTTCGTGTTTGCTTTAGCCGCCTAATTAATGTTCTTTTTTTGTATCATGTCTAATTCGAGACGTCAAATTTAACCTTTATCTACTCTTACTTTCCGAATACCCCGTTTAATATGACTCAATCTCGTCATTTTCAGCGATTCCAATTAACTTCATTGGTAATTTTCTATTGCTTTAAGTGGTGATGGCATCAAAGTATTCAACAGCTGAGCGTGCTTTTATGGAATGATTTTGGTTTAATGCGTAAAAGTAGGGTAGCTATCTACCACTAGCTCCTACAGGCCCTTCCCCCACTGGTTACTCGACTGCTAGAAACTTCACAATATGGCAAATCATCTGTTTTGGCTCGTAGACTATCTCTTTAAAAGTGGTGTTATATTTATTCTGTTTAGGACCAGTAGTCCCAAAGTTGGCCACAAGCTGATAAAACTCTACGGGTGGGACAAGTATTTCGACTACCTTGAGATCTACCCGACATCGAAGACCAAACACTTTAAGGCGTAAGTCGTGACATTCACGGTTGTCCTATAATTCTGGGTCATTTTGTTGTCTGACTGCCTTTGCGTTTAGACTAACCCAAAAGTCGGATATCCCCTATGATCAGATGATGTTCTTCGACGACATGTCTTTCAACATTCACGAAATCGGCAAACTCGGTGTGCACGCCGTCCAGGTACACAACGGTGTTGATTTTCCTTTTCTTCGAAGAGCACTGGAGCAGTTTGACCGGGCATCTGTCGCCTAGATGTGCCCGCTTTTGTTTTGAGACTATTTTGTCTTAATTTTTACTGGAATTATATTTTACTTTTTAACCGATACCTCATCGTTTCCTTCCGATTAGAGAGTTTAAAGTTAATTGAAATGTGCGGCTATCCGAGCATTTTTAATTAAATTTGTCCCAAAGCTGACGATCTACGCCTAATAAACTCAGTCGTGTGTGAAAATGTTCTCTCGTGATTTCTGTTGCAAAAAACAGGATGCTTGGACGAAGTTTTGCTGGATGCATCTCGTTGCAGTGCCTTTCGGCTCAGCTATACCAGATGTGACTATGCTGACAGGATGGCTTTTAATTGCGTGTAGGAACGATCTCGCCAATGGCAAGCAAGAAACAGACGTTGCTGTTCGTGTGTTCATTGTCTCGCTGGAAACTACCTAAGGTCTGTTCACGCAGATTGTTAAATTGGGGGTTCCGTCGGGCAATCTCAAAAGTAAAATTGTTGCGAATAACGTTTATTCAACTCCTTAGTCCGATCGCTTCGCCTCCGGCACAAGGCTCCCCTTCTCGCAGCATGGCGACAGCCGCGCAAATCCTCAACTCCCCTCTTAATTCACACGAATGTTTATTTTGGATTAACCTCAGACCTAGATCTCGATGTTAGCGCATGTATGACTCACACATCCGATCTATAAATACACACGCGCAAACCCCATACTCGACACAACGAAATCAGTTTTGGTTGAGCTCTGAAGTAAACGCTTGTGTCCGTCCTCTCCGGCCTTTTCTTTCATCGCGGGTACCAGGCAAGCGTAATCGGCCAGAGTTAATTCCGTGACCCTGGCGTGGTTCATGACCACTTGCTGGGGCCCACAGCAAAATCAATTCGTGCAAATCGCATCATGGATCATCTGGAGATAATGAGTTGCTGGCATGTTCGTCACCAATCCGTTGTTAGCTCCTGCCGACGACACCTTGCCCCTACTCACACCGACCACATGTGTGCTAATGTTCATTTCATTGTGGCATGCCGTAGCCCAACTCGACTGATGCCTGGTCATTTGTGCCTCTGTGTTCGGTGGCTTCCTCTCTACCATCGAGCTGTAACTGATATTTAAGTGCCCACATTTCCCTAGGTGAAAAAGAGCACCCACCGTATCTTGAGTCAACTACCACAAATGATTAATAACACCTCAAAGCATAGTTTTCTGCCGTAAAATGCGCATTTGGCTTCCGTAAGCACTACATGGCAAAAGATTATGGCGCCGAATCAAGTAAACCGTTGTTGGCTGTTTAAGGAATTACCCAAGAGAAAAAAAGCATAAGTAGGTTCAACGGTAGTTTATTTAAATGGTGCTTCCACCAGTTGACTAGGTTGATCTGGTTCTAAATTGCTAAGACTCCATCATTTCCCGAGACGGCTCATCGAGGGTGAGGATTTCGTCAACGTTCACAGTGTGTGTGGCTTTGGTTAAGGGCAAAACGTAACAGAGATCCAGACCCAATTTGAGGTTACGCTCTTCACACGCATTTTTCTTTACGCCACCTTTTGAGTTACCGTGATACTGTTACCCCAAGAGATCCCAGTTTTGGTTGTCTTTTTTATTGACGACTAGAGATCACATACAATGAACACAAACTTGGGCCCCGATCTGTACCGAAATCCGAAAGGTTGTTCTGGAATGAGTGGAGTTTTTATTGATCGGGATCCGTTTGCAGAACGAAGGTAGCGCCCGCACCAACACCACCCGCGAGATCACCAGACACTCCTTACGCTTATTGCGGGGCAAAATGCGTTAAGCCCAGCCAATCAAAGTTGTCTACTGCAAATCTCCTTGTTTTTGAATGAGCTGCCCTCACGCATGACATTAGCTTGGCGAATTCCTCTGGCGCTTAGCACGTGACTGCACCGCATAAACGACATCTCACATGGTGACTTTCCGTGGCAACCTTCTACCCACTGGTTTATTAATATCATATTAAAATGCAAGAACTCCAGGAACTGTGTCTTCGAGATTAATGCATAAACTAGGAAAGAAAAGTCTATCCAAGGAATCGGCTTTCCTCGATCCACATTTTGAAATGGCCCGTCTCTTTCAGCAAAATGAACACGGGTTTAAGACGAATTTGGCATCAAGAAAAGACAATATATACAGTGACAACAGGAGCCCCTTCCCCTCAGCAAGTTACGGACAATTTTCAACCCATTCAATGTCTGTAGTGCAGCTTCCGGAAGACGGACTCCCACTTTTCCTTCGTTTCTTGCCGCTCTTCTTCTTTTTCTTCTTCTTCTTTTTCCTTTTGTGCCTCTTCTTCAAACGGGTGGAGGATGATGACGTGGAGGAGGATGGAGACGAGTTCGGGGAGGGCACTCGAACCGAGGACTTGGGTGCGTGGGACAATGACGATGCTAACGGCACCTGAGGCGGCCCAACGGGCTGCAGCGACTCGCGCTTTTCGATCGACATGGGGACAGGAGGGCCGGGATTCTCCAGTTCGGCGAAGCCGTCGTGACCCCACCGATCGTCGGAGGCGCGGACGACTTGACGCCAGAAGTCAAGCGCTGTAGTCGGTCCAGCAGCAGAGGCGGTTATTGTGGCTGCTTCTTCAAGACGGCGCTTTCGGGAACGGCGCCATTCGCGTTCAGCCGAGTCACTTCGAGAATAGGGTAACGAACCAGATGCATCGCTAATTCCATCATCGGTACGTGGTTTGGAGCGACGGCCACGACTGCCAACCTCCCTTTTTCTCTGTTTATACTCCCGCCAACATCGCTCCTCCTCCAGAATCTACACAAACCATATGATTGCAAACTCAGTTTATCGATTGATGGGATTTGGGGGAAACGGAGCAAGTTTTGTGGCGGAATGCCTGAGAGGAAGCCTAAACACGAATGGGCTTGGCTTCACATGCTGTACTAAAATACAAAATTTGAGTCTCGAGAATCACACCTCTAGCATTTCACAAATGGACGAAGTGGAAATGAGAGCAGCTAGGTATATGAAGCTGGCACAACATGCAAGCCATGTTGATGACATATCTCAAAACCCACGACTTTTGAGCTGACTGCCAGCAGAAACGCAAAAGACAAAAGAAATCTGTCGTTCTCCGGCCTCACGCGAAGCTGTTGCCTGTCTTTAAGCATCGAAACCTACTTATGCACGAGGACACTCGTACTTTCGAATGAAGCCATGGTGTAAGTAACCTTAAGGGCCCTACAGTAGATGCAAAGCATACCTCCGATAATGCCGCATGTATTATAATGAAGAGGCGGATTGTTAATGAAAAAGGCGGTAATTTTTCAAAGTCATAATAAGTAGTACTTACCCGATTATGAATGGCGCTTTGTTTTACATATCCCAAAACAAGTCGTTTGTCCTATAATGATATAAAAATTATATTTTTAAAAGCTCTTTTTTTATAAACATTTACCAACCACGGGCCAATTTCTGTACAGACAGTACATGAAGATACAACCGATCTTAAAAAATTTCCACCAGACACAACTGCGTTAGAACATAGAGTTCACTCTAAAATTGCTTGAGGCAAACTAATAGAGACCAGAACTGATTCACTGACCGATAGCAGTGTAACAGGAGTGCCAAATTACATCACACTGTAGGAGCTTTCATAATTGCTCATTCATAAAACATTCGCTCTAAGCACTGGTCTTTGTCCGAAGACAGAAAACCCGTTGATCAGTGTAAAATTGACATGGTTTGTAGTTAAGAAAAGTTTTGAGGTTCTTAGGAAAGCTGTGTCTTATAGCGCACATTTTGGGCCGTAACCAAACACATTGCTACCAGAGTTTCTTGGGATTGCCTGTTGTCTGCTACGTAAATTGTATACGGTTATTTGATTTTCCATAAGCCTCATGGAGTACTCGAACATAAGTATTTTGAAGGAATAGAAGGCTTTTGTGCAGCCCAAAGCTATTCACTGATTAAATTCAGTTTTAAACAAAACACTCACGGGTGTAACGGTGATCACTTAGAAGGATTTTAGTGGCCTGACGAGGGTCGGTGACTCTTCTGACAAATAACTGATATCGAGCACTGCTACTGCATGCAAACTTAAAACTTGATGCAAAAGTTCACATACTGCCATTGAGTAATTTCCTCTTTGGAGCATATGCAGGATCGTGATCACAGGAAAAAATGAATCAAAAGTAGACTAACGTGTCTAGAGTGTTGGTATAAACAAAGAGCTGCATTAAACGTTGCCTGGAAATGAGGCAGCGGTAGTTAAGACTAACTTTCTCCTGGGTTAACTGGGAGTTCACGTAGGTACATTTAAAACGCTTAACACAACTTCTGGACAGACTTTACCAAAAACACGTTGAAGACTAGTAAAGAGCTAAGTCTATGGTAGTTTGGTCAGCTTTAAGCATCAGCGAAATTCAGGTTGCTTTGTGCAGTTTGGGAAATTCATAATCTACGTATTTTTGGTTGTGGGTGAAATCTGGTTCATTGTTTATATATCGTAATGGCAGCTAAAAAACAGAATGGATAAGGCTAGTGCAAAGGCTAATTTTCACGACTCCTATGAATAGAATACAACATCTTTCCAAACCAAAAACGGCATAATAACCCGTTAAAGCAAATAAAGCCTTTTCTAGATCATTAAATCAACGGTTGACTAAGTGGAAATAAACAATTCCGCACACAGATTAAATCAATGCAGTTCTTGAAATAGTTCCAAACGTGACTAGACACAAGTATCATTTTAAAAAGCTCTATGTTTATTCATTTCGAAAATTTAATGGTCGAGGAAACAGGGAAGTCATTAAAAACCTCACAAAATGATTCAGCATACGTCTATGATGAAGATATCATTACATGTGTACAAAAAAGGCACTAACATTATTAAAAAAGAGTTAAATAATTGTTAAAGATCCCAATAACTATGGCAAAGTAGACATACCGCCATTCAAGCTAGCGAACATCAAAGCGCAGCAGAAAATAAACACATTTTCAGAAAACCCGCCCTTACAAAGTAACATTAAAGGAAATTGATTTTGGACAATATTTAAAGTCTACATTAGATTTACAAAGGCAATTAAAGCGCGAAAAATCTTTATATCGTTTAAAAATATAATTGCTACAAATGATAAGACTGCACATTGGTTTTGCAAATAATTCATAAATGAAGAGATCACTAAGCATTTAAATAGTAAAAAAGGAAAAAATATTAAAAAAAGGTCATTCTAATAAAAATACTACCAAAATAAACACAAGAGTCATAAATTTTAATAGCGAATAACTGACTATTGGTGAATAAACTCTACATAAAGTATTGTTGTGAAATATATATATATATGAAATTAAAAAAAAAACAAAAGAAAAACATTTAAACCACAACAGCCAAAAAAATTATAGAGAGCACCGTAAAGCTTAAATTATGTTCAGGTCGCAAAGTAAGAAAAACAACGGAAACAGAAGTGTATATTTGGACATATCCCGCAAGCACAAAATGGAAACAATTAAACAAAAATGTAAATGATGCATTTGGTGGCTGCAGTATTAATGGTGCTAATGACCGCCCCGGCGATGGAACCAATGACTTCATAGGTGTCGGAA